CTAATTTTTTTTGTCTATGAGTGTAATATGATCTTCTTAACTACCTTGTCCCAATTTTTTAACTACATTTTCATTTCATTGTCACTATCATTTCTTCTTTTATGAATAAAGGGCAATACTAGTCAATATTTATTGAGTCATTTAATTAATTTTGTAGTATGAAATTTATTTAATACATATCTCACAAATTTTTGACGGAATTAATACTTACATCCAAAAGTACTCTGACGGAGGATTTCCATCTGCCGTCGTGCCATTCTAAAAAATATATATAAGTTTATTATAAATTTATACTTAAAAGAAAAATCTTTGAAAATAGTAGCATGAAATACAGTTTTAACATTAGCATTAACACATTATAAGAACAGTAACATAGAACGTTATAAAGATATTAATTTCGAATGACATATAAAGATTATAATGGACATGCCTTCTTTTGAAAGAAACGCCATTAAAAATAAACTTACTTCGTTAAATGTACCGTTTGGAAAATGACATTCAGTCCAGGGAAGGCAGGACTGCATGGATGCAAAAATGTAAAAAATGCTGAGAGCCATTAAATAATTATAAAAGATGAGGACGTAGGCTGTTGAGATTACTTGGGCATATCCGATACCTAAATTGATAGAAATATTAATAAGTTCTCATTTATTAACGTTTAATGTTTTATAATATTTTCATTAAAAGTTTAACAGAATGAAAGTAATAATAAAATGCTATTCAGCGAAGAATCACTGATGTTTCTTAATCTTAGAAAAATATTAAATAGTTTAAAAAATGTAAAAACTAAGATATTAACTATAAAATTAACAGAGAACATGAATATCAGATTCAAATAAAAAAATTTTCGAATTCCTACCTATATATATATATATATGGGCTTATTCTCTACAAACAAGAGATAACATCCAACAATCACATTCGAAAAACACATAGACAGTAGGAAAATCACACAATATGAGTAACCGACATATGAGTAACCGAGATTAAGAATTATAAAATGGATGCTGCAGTATTATAAACATTGCAGACTTAGGACAGCTAATATATAAAATAATTTATATAAAAGTTGGGTTTAACATGTTTTTTGGCCAGCCAACCTTCCCCCTTTATGTAAATAATACTGAGCAAAAACCTATTGAAAGTAATGGATAGGAATATCTAAATCCATTGCAAGATAGAGCTAACTTACCTAAAAATTGCACTTAAAAATTCAGTGCCCGCGCTAAATCTGAGTGCAATAAATAAGTTATTGCCAGATTCTTGACCCTAATGCAGATTTAAATCATGTGACTTGCTTATATATATATATATATATATATATATATATATATATGTCACCGGCAATGTATGAAATGATTCTTATTTCACACATTGCCTAGGCGTTCTATAGAATCCTAATGAGAAACCGGCAAAGTATAAAATAAATCTACGATTCTTTTCAAATGCTGTGTGGCAAGACACGAGACTTTTAACACGTGCCTCAGGCTCAGAAGTTGTCAGTTGCACATTGGGATTTGTTCGGGAGAGTCAAAATAATCAATTTTACTTAAACTTTTTCAGCAAAAAATTGGTTTTTTTCCGGTGCTGCATGAAAATGGAGAAGCAAGTTGTAATGTTGGAGAAGGAGTCATGGTCTATAGCAGGGGTAGGCAACCTATGTCACATGGTATAATTATCAGTGGCACTCAGCACTACTTCAACAAATTTGTCAATTTTTGAATGAACTTCATAAATTTGTAATAGATCTTATTTGACAAACATTTCCAGAATATGGAAAATTAAGGAATAACGAAAAATTTGAAAGGTAACTCTAAAGGTAAATTTACAGCTTTTTTTATAAATTATTGAATGCCATAGATGGAGATATTTAATTGTTTGAAGAGAGAAAATTGCATATGTATTCTTCTTTTCCGCTTTTAGTTCTACATGTCTTAAGTAAAATATCTTTCCTCATACGAAAAATATTTCGAGTCCGCAAAGAAATTATTTAACAACTGAATGCTCAGAATCATATCGAAAGTAAAAGTCACAAATTACACCACATTTTTTGCGATATGAAAGTAGAGCGAAACAGCACTATAGTCACATTAAAAATTTTTTTAACTACAATCAGGGAGAATACTTATATTTTACGTTGTCTGTTTCTTATTTTAATAAATATGTTTAAAAAACATAATATATGTACAATTTCGAGGTTTTTATTTATTTTTTGTTGAAGAAATAGTTATACTTTATGCTGTTTATTTTTATATTAAGAAATATTTTTAATTGATGCAAAATTAATGTGGGATAAAGCTGTAAATCTAAATAATTGAACTCTATTCCCTAACTCTTCATACATTATCGCGGGAATGGAATTGTTTCAAAAATATCCTACTGTGTGTGGTACGCTGAATCATAATTGGTACATTAATTTTTGACACGCCACAGCTAATAACTTGCCGACCTATAGGCATGAAACAACTATTCAACGACGAGCTGCCCAAAACTCGAGTTAAAGCTGCAAAAAAAAGTGTGTTTTTTTTAACTGAAACTACGTATAAGAAATTAATAACTGATGTACAAAAAGCCAAAAGGACTACTAAAAAGGAACCCAGGGCTTATTGGTTGCTGAATAGCTATGATGTGATGTTTGGTGAAAATATAAAAATAAACTGATGTAACCTGTTAAAGAAGGCGTCAGTACTGTACAGAATGGTTTCCAGTCCGTGGATCAATTGGTATCGGGCCACTCAAGAAGTTATTAAATTATTTCCATTTTATTTACTGGAGTGTATTTCTCTAGTTTGTTTGACTTTCCATGGAAATCACTTTATATTTCAGGTAAAATCCCTTTATATTCATTTTTGGAGTAACTAAATTTTATTCTGAAGGTATGTTTAAATACAATTAAATTACTAAATCAAAACAATTAAAAATATAAACAACGTCCCGAACTCAGCGGGCCGCGGTAAAATTATCAAACGTTGAGCGGTCCACGGGGTAAAAAGATTGGGAAGCACTTCAATACAGTATTATATCACGGATTCTGAGTTATTTTAAGTACTTCATGAAGGTCGTTTGGCTATTGGACACAGAGGACGTGATAGAATTCTAAAAGAACTTTCAACCAAATACAAAAACGTTACTCGTTATAATATTGAAATGTACATCCACTTCGTGAACCTTGACAGAAAAAACAGAAAAATTATTTTAAAAAAGGTACTGTCGTGAAATTTATGATTTTTTTTCTGAATGCCAATATATTGGCACTTGTAACGAGTGGGAAAAATGGTTTATATCGACTTGGAACTTCTGAAGGAATTTTAAAACAAGTATATGCGAAATCACAATTTATTTTGTGCCCTCAGAACTTGCTTAGAATTAAAAATATTCCTGACCACTAAATTCCTCATCGGTCAGTTGCAATTGCTCACTTCAATGGAAGCGGCAAAAGATTCGTCAAATGTATGTGTAAAACAGCGTTTCTCAAACTGTGGGGCGCGCCCCCCTTGGTGGGCGTATTAACTCTACGAGGGGGGGGGGCGCTAGCCTATTGAAAAATCGAAAATAAAAGATTATTTTAAAAAGTTACTAATTTACTGGAAGTAAACCAACCAAATACATTCTGACATAATAAAAAAATAAAATAGACATTTACAATGATATAAAACACTTATAAATGTATCAGCACTGCACAATGCGTTTTATGATTAATTTAACAATACTAAGTTAATAATTACAAGTGACTCCAATCTTGCCATATATAAAATTATATACAAAAGTTAACGCTTATCTTCATAATTTTTGTAAAGTTTATAATTAATCCTTTAGCTGCCGATAAAAGGTTACGCGATTCACTCTCCAATGCCATCACATACG